GGGGGGAGCTCTGGGTACCCTGCCCTGACAGCGTGCATTTCCCCATTGCAGTCTCTGCTCAGACAGACACAGCTGCGCTCGCTCAGCAAGTCGGACACGAGGCTCCACGAGCTGTACCGCCTGAAGGCCAAGGACAACAGTGAGTGTGTGCAACCCCCGAGCATCCCACCCCACACACCCTGTGCTGCAGTGCAGTGACTCCACGTCCCATCTCCTCCCTGCAGACCAGCGCCCGGCCAGCCTGGATTTCCCCCTCTCCTCACTGCCTCCTGACTCCCTGCACAGCTCCGTCCTCCTGCATCGCCAGCTGCCCCTGATCCCCAGCTCTGAGCCTGCAGCCCCTGACCAGACCTACTCCAACCTGCTCTTCGCCCCAGCGCATCGTGCGCCCCCGGACACGCTCTATGAGTGCCTGGCAATGGGGGAGGATGATGTACCTACTGCCACTGGGACCCCAGCGTCCCCCCCCCGGGTCAGGCAAGGGGCTGCTGACTATGCCTGCGTCCGGAAGGTGAAGAAGACGGTGCCAGAGGAGCAGGAGGGGGCCGTGGCAGGGCCCTCTGCAGCCCCACAGTGCTGGGAAGGTGCAAGCGATGCGCCCCGTCTGAAGGTATGGCACTGGGGGAGACCCATAACACCACTCCCATAATGAATGTGTGCAGAGAAGGGCATGCAGTGGGATATTCTACTATTCCAACTGTGTTTTTGGGGGATTGGGATGGAGCCCAGGCACAGGTAGGAGATGCACAGAGCGCTATCCTGGGTGATGCAAAGAGTGCTACCTGTGGGTACGTGAATGCCATCATCCTACCAGGGCTGTGGGGGCTTAGGGATGACCTGGGGGGGTTCCCAGGATCACCCATCTCCAGACCATTCCCTTCCCTCCGCAGCTGGAAGATATGTACTCAACGGTGTGCAAAGCCACCAAGAAGAGGAACCATGGCCCTGCAGCATCCCCCAGGGACGGGGGATCCGGGCGGCCACCCCCACCCCATGAGGAGCCTCCACCAGCTGCCTGTTGGCCCACGGCCCCCCCTGAGCCCTGCTATGAGGCCATCAATGACAGAGCCTGGGCTGCACGTGGCCCTGAGCCGGACTATGAGGCTGTGGATATTCGCTGGAAGAAGGCAGCAAAACGGGAGTGGCCGGGGAAGCAGGACAACCTCTATGAGAGTGTTGGTGATATGTGGGGAGGGGAATCTCGGGGAGGTTCTGGCTGGACCAGTGCCAATGGGCTGCAGGTGTACATCACCAACCTATAGCAATCCCAACGTGGGCAGGTGGATGGACGGACGGATGGACGGATGGACAGACAGATGGATGGATGGAGGTTGGGCACTGCGGCTCTGCCCCGCAAGGTGGGGATGGGCACACAGCTGTGCCAAATGTGAGCTCTGTATATATTTTAAGTTACTTTTCTTTAATCATCCTTGTCCTGTCCCACCTGGTGCCAGCAGGTTGGCACCGAGGTGCCCCAGATGGGTGGGTATGGTGGGATGCCTGGTGCTACCTCTGATGTTCCATGGGAGCTCTAGCTGTGGGTTGGGGCCGTTGCCATGAGGCAGCTCCAGGCATGGACTGTGGGACTGGGTCACCCAGCGGAAGAGATGCTGGAGCAGAACGGGGCCCTTCCAGCACTGGGAGCCATGAGCAGCTCCACTCCATCTCCCAGTGACCCCAAGGTTACTGTGGGATGGCTGCACGTCCCCATTGTGGCACTTTCCACCTCCATCACTTTTGGGCATGTGTGACACCTCCATGAGCAGCGTCCTACAAACCTGTCGCTGTATCATTTGTCCTGCTGGTAAGGATACACCCTTAAACTCCATCCAAAGCCCTCACCCATGATGGCACCATGGTGGGCTCACAGTCACGTGCCGGACCTGCACTGATGCTCCAAAACACCTGCATGGGTGCAGCCACCAGGCGCTGCCCCAATGGGACCAGGCAGGGTCGTGTCACACTGGTGCCAAAGCCGGGGCTCTGCCCACTCACGCTGCAGCACAGGAGAGAAAGAAGGAAGGAAACCGTGCGCCCACCTCCTCCAGATCTGCCCTCGATCGAAGCAGGCGAAGAGCTGAAAACCGAAAACACGGCGCTCAGCAGAATGCCGGGGACGTTACGCCCTGTGCACGGAGACGAACGGGGTGCTGGCGCTGAGCTGAACCGGGTGCCAAACCGCAGCGTGCACTGAGCACAGCCGGGCCCATCCCCCTGCGAGATGGGGGCCCGATAGGAAAGGGCACGGGGCGGAGCACGGGGATGCTGCGCACGTGGGCTCACTGCTGAGCTGCTGCGTGTCCCTGCCCCATTTTCCCAATCCCCATTTTCCGCATCCCTATTTTCACCACTTTCTCCATCTTCTTTTTCCCATCCCTTTTTCTGCATCTCTATTTTCTCCATATCTCCTTTTCTCCTTCCCCATACCTTTCCCCGTCCCATACCTTCCCGTCCTCTTTTCTCCATCTCCCACCTTTCTCCACCCCTATTTTCTCCACCCCATTCCCCATCCCACCACGTGCTGCATGTTGTGTGGTGCAGTGCTGTATGCCATGCGATGCTGCATGCTCTATGGTGCTGTGTGCTCTCCTGCACGCCATACGGTGCTGCACCCCATACTTTTCTCCTGCCCATGCAGCCCCCAGCACCACCTGAGGGGCTCTGTACCCCAGCACAGCTCATAGGGCCTGTATGTAACTCTATACAGCCCCTATAGTCCCACACTGCAGCCCACACCCCCCCTTGTGCAATGCACCCAAGGTGCTGGCTCAGTTGCACAATGTGGGCTTGATCGCTCTGCTGTTAACCATTAACCCAAGATGGGGGGGTGGTGGGGGAAACCCCTGCCCTGCTGCCCCAACCCCTGGTGGCTGCACCCCATCATTGCTAATTAACTGCTCCAGGGCCGCCCTTTTCATTGCACACCGAGGGACATGGGGTCACCCAGGCCAGGGCTGCTGGGGGGTGCACGAGGGGGGACGTCTGCACGGACTCTGTCCTGACCTTCAGGTCCCAAATCAAACAGCACAGAGCCAGGGCAGCACCCAGCACTCGCAACCCCAAAAGCAGAATGTGGGTCGTGCCAGCCTGAGCACTTGTGCCCCCCCATAAATGCAGCCACTCCAAGAACCACATGAACCCCATGCAACTTGGCCCCCCCCCCCGTGCAGCCATGTGCTCCGGGCACCCCATGAACACTGGTATCACCCAGAGCCCTGTGCACACCTGCAGCCTTTGGGAGACCCCAGAACTCATCCTGGCTGGTAACAAAGCTTTGGTTCCACGTTTATTGGACACGTTCTGAATGTGGGTGGGGTGAGATGGTTGGGGTGGCCCCGTACCTTTGGAGAAGTGCTATGGCTAATGGGGAGTCCTCTAATTGGGGAGGGGGCGTGACTTTGGGGGCAGCCCTACAATTGACAGGGAACCCGATGGCTGATGGAGGGGCTCTGCAACTTCTCGGGTTCCCTGTGGGTTTTTTGGGAGTGGACTCCAATTTTGCAGAATTTGGGGGAGGGGGCAGCAAAACTTTTGGGGAAACGCTATAGATTAAGGGGAACTCTCTGCTTTCGGGGGTCCAACTTTTGGGAGCACAACTTTTTGAGGGGAGCAACTATTTTTTTGGGGGGGTCGGTACAACTGTTTCGGGGGCACGACTCTGGGCTGGGCCCTGCAGCTCTCAGCCCTTCGGCTTTTAAGCGTCCCTGCAACTTCGCAGCGCTCTCTCACGGGGCGGGGGCACCGCTTTGGGGGTCCCCACCGACTTGGGGCGCCCGGTGCCGCCCCCAACCCGGAGGGGCGTGAGGGGACGACGGCGCTTTTCGGCCCCCTCCCCCCGGTGCCGGTGGCGGGGCGGGGCGGGGCGGCTCGAAGATGGCCGCGGCGGGGGCGGTGGTGGTGGCGGCGGCGGGGCCGGTGCACGGCGGGGCGGGGCGGGGCGCGGCGCGCCAAGTGGCAGTGCGGTTCAGCCAATCAGGAGCCACCCTCGAGGCGGCCGCGTTCCATCCCGCCACGGCGGAACCAATAGGAAAAAGCGGCGGGGCAGGGAGGGGGCGTGGCCACCGCCGACACCGGGCCGCGCGCCGGAGCGCTCCCCCCCGCGCCGGGCCCGGCCCCGCGGCCGCCGCCGCCCCGCATGGAGCCCGCGCCGCCGCCCGCCGCCTGCGCACTGCTGCTGCCGCCGCCCGCCGCCCGCCGTCGCCGCGCCCGTCGCCGCCTCCCGCCCGAGAACGACGGGGCCCCGCAGGTACCGGGGGGCGGCGGCGGATGACAGCGAGAAAACTTTCCCCGGCGGTTAAATAGGGGTTGGGGGTGCGGCGGGGAAAGGGGAGGGGAACCCCCCCGGCTCCCCTCGGCGCTACCCTCCCCCCCCTTCCCCCCGGTGCTGTCCCGTTCTGCGGTGCCGCCCCCGGGAGGGATCCGCTGCTGCCCGCTGGCGGCCGCCCGGCGGACACGCCCCCCCCGGAGCCTCTGGCGGGAGCGGCCGGGGGGGGTCCGGTGACCCCGCGAACCGCCCTTTGGGTCCGACTGCAGCCCGGCTGGGTCCGAGGTGGATCCCGGTTGCAGCCCGATGAGTTCCCAGTTGGCTCAACTGGAGGTACCGGCCCGTTCCCAAATGGATCCCAAATGGATCCCGACCGGATCACAGCCCTTAGGGGTGGCCCAGGTGGGAAGAATGGGAGGGATCCCAACCGGATCCCAGCTGGATCCTTTGGGGGTCTCCCAAGTGAGGAGGGAGCCGCTGCAGAGCACCGTGGGGATTCCTGTGGGATCCCGGTGCTCTGCTCCAAAGGGATCCGCTGCTTTGCTTTGGAGGATGCCAGCCCTGCCCAGCACAGCCCCTCTGGATCTCCTTGGGATCTACCCACAGACGGATCCATTGGGTGCTGACACCCCACAGCGAGTGCCTGAGGAGATCCTGCCGGATCCCAATTGCTTCCCAGATGGCAGATCTGCTTGGGATCCACTTGGGACATGCAGGATCCCACCACGATCTCTCGCAGCGCTACCAACTCCTTCCCTACCTTAGAGACTGGGGAATCTCGTGGGGCTGGGATCCATCAGCGGTGGGATCAGCCCCCGACGGCCGCCCTCTCCCTGCAGGCATTGCCCGGGGCGCGGGGCTGGCTGCGACGCCTGGGGGAACCGCTGGGACTGCAGCCCCCCGAGCAGGAGGCGGTGCTGAGGGTGTTGGACGCGGGGTTGGAGCGGTGCCTGGCGCTGCACGCAGCCTGCATCCCCCTGCCGGGGCACAGGTATGGAGGGACGGGGTGGGAATGGGGATGGGTACAGGAATGGGAAAGGAGGTGGGTTGGGGAGGACAGTTATAAGGTTGGGAACGGGGATGAGGATGAGGATGGGTCAGGGTGCGGATGGGCCGGCGTGCTCCTCTCACCCGCATGGATAAAGACGTGTGGGTCTCCCCACCCCTTCCTCTGTATGGACGCAGAGGCCATCGCTGCTCCCTGGGGGCTCCCAGCAGAGCCTGCGGCCGTGGCACAGCGCCCGGTGCCGTAACCGGAGCCGTCGGGGCGGGCGGCAGCTGCTTGGCACCGGCACCGGGTCCGCCCGGCACCGCGTGGAGGCGCGAATTCAAACAGCTCCGCACTTGGGGCGGTGGAAAAAAAAAAAAATCCCCGCTTTGATTTCTCGGTGCTTTTCCCAACCTCAGGGCCGGCAGAGCGAGGGCAGAGCCCCCCACACCCCGTTCCCCGGGGCTGTCCCGCTTTGTCCCGCTGGAGCTTTGGGACGCACTTGCAAAATGGCTTCTGTTGCTCCTGACCTCTTGCTCACTTTTTTTTTTTTCTTTTTTTTTTTTGCTCTTTCTCTCTAATTTTTTTTTTTTTAGTTTTTCTTAATTTTTTTTCCACTTCAGGAAGTTGTTTGGCCCCAGCTGAGCTAAGCCTGGTTTCTCAGCTGCACGTGGCACAACACAGGTGTCCGTGCCCGTGGGGTTCCCGGTGCCAGTCCGTGTCCCCTCTGCAGCTTGTGGGAACCCTGGTGGGAGGTGGGGGGCACAGAGAGGCAGTGGTGGGGGGTCCTGGCTGTGCTCATCACAGCCCCTATGCTCACGCTGGCAGGAAGCTCCCAGGCAAGGCAGGCATCGATGAAGTGATGGCAGCTGCGGTGCTCACCAGCCTTTCCAGCAGCCCACTGGGGCTCGGCCACCCCCCAGCACCTCCTGGCCCAGGTAAGAGCACACTGTGGGACACCGCACCCCTGTCCCTGGATGTGTGGTACAGACCTGACCTTCCTTCTCTGCAGCAGAGCTTGGCAGTGAGATCTGGAAGGAGACACCAGCCGTGTCCTTCAGCTGCAGCAGCAGCAGCAACACCAGCGGGGAATGGAGCTGGGACCCCCCCAGCGACCGCTCCACCCCCTCCACCCCCTCACCCCCACTCTCCAGCCATGACCCCAGTGCCTTCTTGCCCACCTTGCCACCAGACGATGGCCCCGAGGAACCTGACAGCACCCACTTCATGTTTGGAGAGCCCATCCCGCGGAAGAGGAAGGTGGGATGGGGACAGGGATGGGGATGAGGGTGAGGTTGGGGATGATGGGGTTGACGATGAAGTTGGGGCTGGAAAAGATGGTGAGATTCATGGGGATGAGTCTGATGATGGGGTTGAGGCTGGAGATGATGGTGGGGATGCTGTGGGATTGGGGCTGGAGATGGTGAGGCTGGGAATGGAGATGATTGTAAGGGTTGATAGTGCTTGGAGCTGAAGTGCTTGGGTGGGGATGGGGTTGGGAGCGGGATTGGGGGTGGGCTTGATGTTAGAGTTGGGGATGGGGCTGATGGCAGGTTTGAGGATGAATAAGGTGGTGGGGATGACGGTTGGGTTGGGAACAGCATTGGGGATGGGAATGGTGATGGGGATGAGGACAGGGCTGGGGTTGCTGGCCTGACCCCACTCGCCCACAGAACTCCACCAAGGTGATGTTCAAGTGCTTGTGGAAGAGCTGCGGCAAAGTCCTCAGCAGCTCCTCAGGGATGCAGAAGCACATCCGAACCGCACACCTGGGGTAAGCACTGGGGCAGCACCCAGAACCCCCAACCCTACAAACCCCCCCCCACCGTGGGGCCGCCCCCAGCCCAACCCCGCTTCCCCACAGCCGCCAAGCCGACCTGGAGCAGAGCGATGGCGAGGAGGACTTCTACTACACGGAGCTGGACGTGGACGTGGACTCGCTGACGGATGGGCTCTCCAGCCTGACGCCCGTCTCGCCCACCTCCTCTGTGCCACCCGCCTTCCCCGGCCCCGAGCTGCCGCCCTTCCCCAGCCCTGAGCCGCCTCTGGGCTCCCCCCGCAGCCCCCCACCGCCCCCCGGCCTCTGCCACGTCCACACTGACCACGCGTACCAGGTGAGGCTGGGGTACAGCGCCAGGGTGCCGTGTGCGCCCGCGGGTGCTGACGTGGTGCCGTGTCCGCAGGGCTGCCCCTCAGGGCCCACAGCTGGGGAGAAGCGGCCCCCAGGTCCACCCGTGCCCGGTTTGAGGATGCCGGCGCTGCCCACCCCGACGCTGCCGAAGCCACCCGCCGTCCCCAGGTGAGTTGGTGTCACCGTGTCACCGCGTCACCGTCCCCTCTGCCCTTTCCATCCCCAACGCCGCAGTGACGTCGCTGTGCCCCGCAGGAAGCCGCGGGGGGAGGCCAAGAAGTGCCGCAAGGTGTACGGCATGGAGAACCGGGAGCTGTGGTGCACGGCGTGCCGCTGGAAGAAGGCCTGTCAGCGCTTCCTCGACTGAGCCCCGCCGCCGCCGTGCCCCCCCCCCAGCTCTCCTTCTTGCACATTTTGCACTTGAGGTGCCTTCGCGCCCCCCCCCAGCCCGCCACACACACACACAAACACACAGACACACACACAGACACACACACAGACACACACACACACACACACGCGCGCGCGCTCCCCCCGGGGCTGGACTCAGGGAACAGCCCCCACGCTGTTGGGGGGAGGACTGTAGGGCTTCGGGGGGCCGTGCACAGCTGGGCCTGGCCCTGCCTTCCCCCCACCCCAAGCTTTATGCACACAGCCCCCCCCTCCTCCACGCCAACACAGAGCTTCCCCCCCTTTTCTTTATCCTCGGAAAAATAAGCTAACCCTCTCTGTGCCCCCCCACCCATTGCCTGCAGCCCATATCCCTGCTGGGGGGGCCGTGTGCTGCTGGGAAAAGCTGTGCCTTGGGGCTCAGGATGGGGGGGGGGGGGCAGAGAGGGGTGGGTTCTGCTCCCTGTCCTCGCCTTAACCGGGGGCTGATGGGCACATTGGGTGCCCCCCCTGCACCCCGTGGGGTTTTTTACTCTTTGTAGCGTGTTTTTCTCTCTATGTTTTGTACCTGGGGAGCAGCAGCTCCTGCCGGGGGCCGCGCTCCGGGAAGTGCCTGCAGAACGCGCCCATTTGCACTAAGCCAAACTGCACAAAGACCTTTTCTGTTTTGTTTTGGTTTTTTATTTTTTTTTCCTTTTTTTTTTTTTCCCCTCTCCTTTGTGTGTTTTTATTTTTTAAATGAAATATATGAAAATTCCTATTTTTTAAATACTTTCCCTCCCCCACCTCCTTCGGGCTGCAATGCCTGCAGTCCAGGGGACTTTTGGGGCTTTTTGGCCTTCGCCCCTCTCCTGTCCTCTCCCAGTTCCTGTGTCCCCTCCCCAGGCACAGTCCCACTCCCCTTTGCCTGGGGTTTGAGGGGTCCCCACGTTGGGTGCCCCCAGAATGGGGTCGGGGAGGTGCTGGGATGGGTCGGATCCATGAGAAAAATAAAAGATTTGGATTCTTTTTGTTTTTTAAAGGATGATGCTGACCTGCGTGATGTGGGGTTGTGGTGTCGGGGATTGAGGGGGGGGTCGGTCCTGGTGCAGCCCCCTGGGATGGCATCACCCCAACAGAGGGATCCTGCAGGATAAAGGCAGGGGAAGGGCTGATGGAGGGCTGGGAGGCAGCTGCAGGCTGGGAGCGAGCACAGCTGGAGGAGAACATAGAAAAATCAGACCAAACGTTAGCAGCAATTTCCCCAATTTATTGAAAGGGATTGATTTCTGCACGTATGTCTACGCTAAGTCCCATCACAATGTATGTATACTCAAAGGGCACAGCTCTGGGTGCCAGGCAGACAGAGACCAAAGGAAGGTCCTATCAGCTGAACTACATCGACAGGGAATCAGTACAACACAGCCACGTCCTCTGCTGACCTCTGAGACCAAAATCTCCTCCCTCGAAATATTAAACACATCTTCAATACAAACACAGGTTTTATAATAATTATTATAAAGTCAGTTATAATATAGAATATTCCCAGCAAAAGGAAATAATTAATAATCATCATCTTCGAACGCCGCCCTCTTTCTGTTCAGCTTTATTTCTGCAGACAGGTTTAAAGCACGTTGAAAAATAAATAGAGATGGGAGCACACACACAGCACTCGTACTACGCAGAACTAAAGATGAAGGCAGGAAACCCAAAACACAACGCAGGGCAACTGAAACGTACAGAGAACCACTCGGTATGGCTTTCGTAGGAGTCACAGAATGAGATAAAATAAGGTCATCTCGTTTGTAATATTGCAAGGATTCCAGTTTTTGCATTTGCATGGAGTTCCCTTCCTAACAGGGCAGTGAAGCTCTGGCACTTACCATAGATCAGAGGGCTCTGTTTGGTACACAGAGTGCATCCCCCATAGGGGAGTGGTGCTGGATGATAATGCTAACACACTACGTTAGCTTTTCTGTGGAGCTTTCTTTTTTAACTCGTTTTTAACCTCTTTTTTTTGCATCCTCAACTCTGAGAGTGCACCCAATTGGTGCTGCTAGGCTCAATGTCCAAAAAGGAAAGGAAGGAAAAATGGGAAACGTTTCCAAATATGAAGCAAAGCTGAGGTCACCCCAGGTTTTGGGGGAGGATGGGGGGCTCCCAGCTCTTGTGGTGTGGGATGGAATGTCACAGAAAAAAGGGGACAGGGGTTGGGTGTACAGGTTCTGTTTTTAAATAGACTTTACATATAAAAGCAAAGCTACAGCCGTCTGTAAGTACTGTATGCATTTGTCTACACAGAAGTGGGGGCTGCGAGACCCCTCCTATGTACAGGGCTGACAATAAATACAGATCTGTGGGAGCTGAGAGCTGCCTGGCACAGGGCTGGGGCAGCTCTGGGGCCTTGAGGACAGTTGTGAAGGCTGATGGTAGAACACGGGGATTGCTTTTGTCTGTTCAAACACGGCAGTGGGGCTACAATGCAAAATGAAGGTTTGTACAGCTCAATGAAAACGTTTCTGCACGACCCCCCCACTGCAGCCCAATGCACACAGGGATGAGCACTGATGGCAGCAGTTGGACACATGCACCCAATTCCCAACGTGCACCAACAGAAACGCACACAGACATCAGCATGGAACTGCAGAGAGCAGTGCTGGCAGCCAGCAGCTCCGACCCCGAGGGATTGGTTGGGGTGATGGTACAACAAACCCTATTTTCTTGCCGAGCAGAACCATGCTTCCATTGAAACCAACACCTGGAAGAACCTCCCTCCCCACCGAGGTCGCCTTTCCAACCATTGGAGGATAATAAATAGCACCTTGGAGTCATTTGGCTTTCGGCACCAGGTTGTCCTTTGTGGCAGGTTTCAAAGAGCGTCATCACAGCGTAGAAAATTGCTCCGTAGCGAGGAAAGAGTGAGTTCTTCAGCTTTTTNNNTTTTTTTTTGCCTTGTTTTTTTTAAAAAAAGCACCAGAAGCAAAGAGGTGAAAGGTAACACAGACTTCTTCTCGCCAGTAAGACCCCTCCAGTGCACTGCGTCGTCATTTCCTTGGGATTGGAAGAAGGCAGCGATGCTCGATATGGACACGGAGCATCCAACCACTTGGAGACACCCAAACCTTTCTGAGACACGCCAGGAGAGAAACCTGGTTCTCATAAAAACATTTTATTTGCAAATTTACATGAAACCAGTGCAGCTGAGATTGAAGGTTTCCTTAATAGCTTTCACACCTACCAACGATGGACTGAAGCCCACCCAGGTGAGATCCCAGCAGGATTTTGGGTCTCCTCACCTCGGTGTCCCGTGTTTCACAGTTCATCCTAAAGGTCTTGCTTTTCCTACCGTTTGCATATATTTGTGAGAAAGGCAGCTGAGCAAAGGGAGAAAAGTGAAAATATCTGTGGAAAACGCCGACAGGTAGACAATTCCCTGTGTCCTTATAGCAAAGAGTTCATGAAAATGCCAGCACCCATCGGTGGGCACGGAGACGCAAGGCTGGAAGACAGGACACGGGTACGACACCACTGGGTCCTAGAAATGCCATGATCTTTTTTGATGGTGATCCTTTTGGAAGCTAAAAATCTACTTTTATGACAAGAATTGTAAGGCTGCAATCCCACTTGCCTTTTGATCTATTTGGCTCGGTAAAAAAAAAACAATAAAAACCCTCTTTAAATAACTTGCAAAAGGCCTGCATCATTAGGGGAAGCCCTCGGAAACGTGCACCCATTCGTTCCCACCACCTTTAGCTTTGCAATTCCACAGCTGCAGGGATGTTAATACATAGAAAAGGTGTTCACCACCACCCAAAACCTACTTTGGACACAACATCTCCTGGAGCTCAATGCAGGGTGGGACGGGGGCACGTGCCCATAGGATCCCCATGCAGGATTGAGGAGGAACAGCAGGCAGCGAGGCCGTGTTGCTAACACACATCCAAGTGGAACAGAGTAGGACTCGTTTAGAAAACACAAATAGTTTTGCACACATGGACGACAACAAGGCTATGTAGTTTTTCCAACATACTCCTTCCTCCCCTGCCCTCCCTCCCCCTACAAACAACAGAACGTGACAAAAGGATCCCTAAGAAATCCAGGTAAAATCCTTGTCATTCTCCCCAGAGTTCTCCTGCGAGGAGTCGACGTCTTTGTCATCATCCAAAATCACGTCGTCGTGCGCCATGCCCACATCATCCTTCCATTTGATGTCATCGTCGTCTCCCATCTCCTCATCTCCCTCTACCTTGATGTCATCCGGGTCTTCCATGTAGGACCCCTCCCCAGGGTACAGCTCCTCGGGGGACCCCTCGGCCCCGCTGGGCTCCAGGTGCCCGGCCATGCTGCGCCCCGAGCAGTCGGCGCAGATGCCGTGCCGGCGGGAGCCGTGCTTGATGCCCACGCTGGCTGCAGACATGAACACCCGGTTGCACACCTTGCAGACGTACTTCTTGTCCTTGCTGTGCACCTGGGAAAGGGGATGAGCAGAAGGGTTAACGGTGACGGAGCTGGACTGAGGGCTGTGTGAGGGGGTGCTCAGCTGCCCTTCTGCTAACCAAGACCGCCACGGCTTTCATCGTGCAACTTAAAGCCATCACAGTTAATTCTACTCAGTAATGCTGTAATACAATGGGAAATCATATAATCATAGAATAGTTGGGTTGGAAGGGACCTTAAAGCCCACCCAGCTCCAATTGCTACCATGGACAGGGACAGCTCCCATAGACCAGGCTGCACAGGGCCATGGGCCCCTCCAAGGATGAGGCACCCATAGTTGTGTGCCAGAGCCTCACTGCCCTTGGAGTGAAGAATTTCCACCTAACATCTGAGCTAAATCTCCCTTCTCTTAGTCTAAAATCATTCTCCCTTGTCCTATCACTATCATGCCATCTAGTTCTCAAAATCCTTTTGAAAATGCCTATGATCAAACTAGGAATATTTGAGAGGAACTTCCAGCTTGCAGCCACTCGGGATGCTGCAAGCAGAGCAGGAAGGAAGCTCTGCACACACAGAGCCATCACTTCCAACCAGAGCTGGATACCAGAGCTGGATAGCCCCGGGCAGCACTTCCTGCCTGCTCCTGCAGCTGGGAAGCACCGCTTACACCCTGTGACCACACAGAGGCACCATCCGAGATGCAAAGACTTCAAGAAGAAAACCCTGTGTTTATTTCGACCGTCTGACTCAAAGAAAACAGACATTTCTATTGAATTTACATTTTATATGAAGGCTATAAAAAAAATCTTTTTGATCTGAGCTAAACACGAAACTAAAATAGCCCCTTTTGTCTTTAGTTCTCAATTGAGGAACTGAAAGAAAAGAAAGTTTTTTTGTGTGCTAAACCTGTTTCCTTTTTCTATGTTATTTTTATACAATATTTTCCCTTGATGCCTATCAGCACTCATCTCTGCAGATTTACCAGAGAGCTGACAATTAAGCCCAAAATACTGTACATAATGGAAATAAGATTACCAGACCAGCAAAGCACATGATCCCAGATGTTCAGTTTGCCACAAGCATTACCCCTTTGGTAGATGAAGATCTTGGTGCCATTTGGATATAATCATAATCACAGAATAAGAAAATGCCCCTTTTCACAGCTCCCTTTCAGAAGGAGCACGTTGGACAGCAGGACTACCTGGAGTCTCACTGCAACACCCCTTGAGGAGGCACTTCCCATCCAAACTCAGGCAGAATTAAACTTTGTTGTGTGCTCCCCAGA